ACGACACGCCGCAAATCAAACCCGTCCGTGGTAGTCGTGTGTTGGCTAGGCTCACCTCCGGACCGGTTGCACCCCCCTTGAACCACCACCTCCTCCTCCTCCACCTCTTGCACCGTTCTCTCTGTCACCTTTCACCCTTCTCCTACTCTACCCTCTTCACCAAAACCCCTTCTCCTCCTCCGCTTGCACTTCAACTGCCACCCCTCCTCTGTCACCCTTTTCGTTTCGTGAACCTCGACTGTCCTCTCAATTTGAGTTGACGCTTCTACGTACGGTCGAGCGATTCGAGTTGCCGCGCGACAGCTGCTCCGGCCGATGCATCACCTCGCATCCGGCGCGCATTACACCGCTGTTACTGTTAATTGAATCGATCGTTTTCAGATTGGCGGTTGCTCTACTAGCACCGTAAAATCGACGAAATCACGTCGCGCATGCTGCATGCATAAGCGAGGATTCACCGCCAAAGGGGAGACGAGAGGGTTGGAACGCGCGCGACACAACAGACAGACACACGTATAGGTTGAAACGCGCAGTCGAGCCAGGCCGCAGATTCGGTGTATCGGACGCCTGGCTCGAGGAACCGGATAACGATTCAACTTAACGCGCGTACGTCAGTAGCGTCGCCAGAGGATTCGCGTTGAGTCTTTAGTTACCATTTTTCTGGGCTTTTTTTTATAAGACAATTTTAAGGTAAGCAATGTTCTGGCAAGCGAAGACACAACGAAAATAAGGAACACGACACGAGGTTTGTTCTCGAAATACATCTGAAACCATTAAAGAAGCAATTATGAAGATCCGGCTAGTCGCGAAACAAGGTGGCTGACGAGCGCTTGAAACTCTGCACAGTTTCCAACGGTAGCAGTTTGATTGTGGGTCGAACTTGGGCTATTTGTATGACCTTATTTCAGGTTTCTGGTCCTTGGGATATCGAAGTTTCTTTGACGCTGGTGCCGCGTCAGAAATGATTATGTTCTAGAAGACCCGGTGTACAGCTCTCGCAAATTACTCGGTCAAGCTTGACCGAGTTTCAATCTTCAAGTCCGGGAACCGTAAAAAGGAATCGGGGATTTATATTTTCGAGACGTTTCATTCAACCGGTCGAGAAGCCAGGACAGAAAAAGGTATTATCGATTGAACGAACAGTCGCTTGGTAAATATTACACACCAGACATCTGCACGTTTGTGCCCCCGTTTACTATTGCATGAAACTTTTTTGCACGGGTTCTTCTCGCCCGCACCGGGGGATAAAATATTCGTGTGGCGTATGAAGCGTTTATCAATCCGCGTTCCATCCGGTGTCGATGTATTCCGTGGTTTGGCAATTCTACCAGTTGAACTTCATTTTAATCCCCGATCGATTCGATCGTTATCAGATGCCTGAGAAATCACCGAAATACATTCGGCAAATGGTCAAATACGTTTCTTGCTAAAAGTGTTACTTTATTCTCTGCTAATTGAATCTCGTCCTTTCGTCCAGAATAGAGTCACTAAAGTTTGCCAAAAGTGTTACTTTATCTTCTAACTGAACTTCACCCGTTACGTCTCACGCTGTAGTTCCACAATAGAGTCACTATCGTCGAAGTATAGGCAGTTAATTTCGTTCAATCAAAGGGTGAGCGAAGATGTTAAACCTTCTTGCAAAAAATGCAATAGACAAATGTTATTTTATCTTCTGCTAACTGAATTCCACCCTATCGCTCTTATCGTTATCGAAATTCTGCTGGAAAACGAACACGTTGAAATTCCTCCTCTCTGTCGAAACTTTTAAATAAATTACCCTAACCAATAATATCCCATTGCTGCAAACTCTCCCCAACAGCCATCGGCTAATGCCATCGGGGATTACGCACGTTCGATTTTAACGCGACGACGAAAAAGCATCGCGACGAATCGAAGGGTGTAAGTCTGAAAGGGGGTCTGCCACCATCGATTCCGATTACCGTGCGGAAAATTACCGGCTGTGACCAGGGACGTTGCTTGAACGGCCGCGCATTATACCACTGTTGTGTCGTTAATTAAAACGATCGGTGGTGGTTTCGCGGTGTTCGAAATTGCGCGGATCACGCGGCTCGTAGAGCAAAGGTTCCACCAGCAGGCAGCCGGGGGTTGCGCGCGTTTTCCAAACCAACGCGCAATGATCTCTGTGAAGTGCTTAATTCCGCGCCGCTTTCCAACGGAGCCGAGCACGCTCGGAAACGAATAGTTCGAATGGTCCGACACACGTTCGCCACTCTCGTCTGACATTTGGTAACTACGTCGTCGGTTCCCTCGATTTGCATCGGTGTACGTTTAGAATCGGAGGCGCGGGAGTGTGTGATCGTTACTATTAAACGATTCGATTGCTTTCGAATTGACAGTTCTCTTGACAGTGTCCCCGCCTGATTCACCGTCGGATGTTTGCGCACCGGCGCGGCCAAAAGAGATTTCACCCATGGACCATCTGTTTTTCCACCCTTTCCCTATCATCTGTTGACGATTCATCGAACAGCAAGCAAGCACGCCTGCTCAAGCTTGAATTTTTAAACGGCAAATCGATTCCATTTCGACTCTTTAATCCCTCCAACCTGTTCTCCCCATCGCGCCAAACCTTCGTTACGAATTTTTGTCTACTTTCCATACCAAGCATCGAATACGTCTCTTCCTTGCTCCGTCTACCTTTTCCTTCTTTTTTACACGTTCGTAGTCCTCGATGCGAACTTCCCTGCAAACACACGACCACGAATCGACTTTTTCCTTCATCCTCGAATCCTCCGCGTCTTGCTCGATTGCCGCAAACACGCCGCTTTAAACGGCCCCCGTTCGCCTTTTCGCCTCGGTACGTCTTTTTCACGCGATCAACCGTCAAATGTCTATGCATCTGTTACTCGATCCGAGTAACGTTAATTACGTTCTATTCCTGCGATCTGTATAACTGCACGATGTGTGAAAAATAAAGTGAAATTGATAGCTGTGAGATTCGACGTTTGCTTCGCAAAAGAAGGAAACTTCGGGAAGAAGAATAGCACGGTTTGTGTGATAACGCGGGGCCGATGCTTGATAAGTCGAGTCGCTTTGATCGGGAATTAAGGTCAGCATCAATCATCGTTCGCGAATCGAGTCGACGATTAATCTTTCCGTTTAACGCCTACCAGGAGTAGTATAGACGTTATGATACCCTGGCGCAAACGTTGACGAAATAAATCAATCCTGTCGCGTGTCTGCCTACTGGTTCGAATCGTCGTTTAACCACGCCACCTAGAAACCGTTGGCGTAATTTTCCGCGATCTCTGCTGGTGAAAACAGCTCCGTTTGTACAACGTGTATGTGTGCGGAGGTTGTAGAGAAGTGTGTACGAGGAAAAGAGGCTAATACGATTTTACGCAGGGAAACGAGTGAAAGTACCGGGGTTGAACGTGCGCCCTTAAGCGCGATAAAACGGGTCGCATGCGAAACAGGAAGAATCGAGGTGGCTAGAGAGGGCAACAACGTCGTCGACTCGTTTACGCTTTAAAGGACCAACCGGCTAGGCGGCTAATGGCGAGCTAGCGTTGTTAAAATATTGAAGGAAAATATACCTCGGCCGTCTATGGGCGCGTAAAACTCTTAAATAGCAGCCTAACGATCCGCCTCCGGCGTGGAAACGCAAGTTACCGTGCCCTTCTCGCCGTAGTTCGATGCCGATGGGACCGCCCGCCATCGATACGCACACCACCGGCAAAGCCTGCTCGTTTCACGTTGAAACGGCAAGATTAACGAGCGGCGAAAATGCCGCGTTACTCCTACGGCGAGAGAGAACGGTTTTCCACGTAAGGTCTAGAAGCACTTGTAATTGCGGACCGGTGGGATCGTGAGGGAAGTTGTTCGTCGAAAATTCTGCGTTATCTTGCAAATTGGCAGGTTACAAGAGTGGAATGTGCGTGTAGACACGTGAAACATTATGCAACTTTTGTTACTCGAGGAAATATTTTTTCGTTCCTCTGCTTAACCTGTTTGTTCCTGGCACGAGGTGCCTGTGTGTTGTTAGAATACTAGGGAAGAAACGGGAGGATTTTTGAAAATTTTTCTCTATAATAGAATTACTTGTGCAATTAACGAATATTAATCCGAAACATCGTAGTAGATAATAGGCACAGCTCCTACTATTGCGTCGTGCGCTTCGAACATGTTCGAGAGTGGTGGCGCAGGATTGTCGCTGGTTCGTGGTGCGGGTTGTTCCCTGGTATGAAGTCGTGGTGACTTAGAGGTTGCACGTATTTTATTATGTTAAAAGAAAAAGACTTTATTTCGAAGAGTGGTAGTTTATGTGGTGTTTGTCTATTTTCCCTTTTTCATCTTATGTGCGCCGCGTTGGTGCGCTTATTTGTAAAAAGGTTTAGGGGTATAAGGTGGTGGTCTCCGGCAATGGGAACGGGTCCTACCCCCTTGGATGGTCCTCCCTGGCCCGCGAGCATGCCGCCCACCCTGGAATTTCCAAGTTGGCAGGGTGGTGGTGTGTCGCGATGGCGAGGGAGTGAGGCCCAAGGGTAGCCCGCGCTACTTTGGGCGGTCAGGGAGACGCGAGAGGTTTTATGACATGTCTGTGTCTATTGAATGTTCACGAGTGGGCACCGGGAAGGTATATGGCCCGCAGAAAAGTTATTTTTCTGCAGCCATAAAACGCTTCCTGGGCTTCGTGGCCAATTTGAAAGAAAAATTAATTAACGCGAAGAAAAAAAAGGGGTGCATTCAAAAATAGCGTAAACAGGCGTCCATGTCATAAACCCAATCCCTAACACCTACTAAGGCAAAAATGATATAAAATAAAAAGAGAATGTTTTATTGAACAAATTTTAGTCGCTGAATTTTTCGCGGTAGCTAAAAATTTTCCGTATCTAATCGGCTCACGGGATTAAAGGGGTTAAAATGGCGAAGCGAAGGGTTTACATAAAAAATGTAATTTAATTCGCGAGAAAGATGGAATACTAAAAACACGCTGTTTCTTTCTGATTGCAGATGTTCTGAGGCGCATCCTGTCGTAAAAGATGAAGGCCGCAATCGCGTCTTGTCTCCTCCTGTTCGTCACCGGCGTCCTCTCCGTCGAGTGGAAGTACAGTGCCATCCTGGACAATAACTTCTTAGTTCTTTGGACGCCCGGCGAGACGGATATTATGTTCGAGATTCAAGTGAAGACCCGCGGCTACGTGGGTCTTGGTTTCACGAGGGAGGACAGCAGCGTTGGGGCTGACATGATCATCGGATGGGTGGACAACAACGGACAGCTCCATCTTCAGGTAAGTGTCCTTAAGAGCCACGTTATCCCACAGGGAAAAGCTCTTACTTCCTGCGCCGATCGTTCTTCGACGTCGACGCTCGAGCTTTCTCTTCTCGTATAAACCCCCTCAATGTACGAAATTATCGACGAACCTGTCTAAAAAAGAAAGAAACCTACACGTGTACACTTATGTGCGAAAAAGAAAAAGTAAGGAACATAATTATTATCGTCCCTAGTTGCGCGCGTAGCGGACGTCGAATTGAATATGATCGCGTCCCATGAAGCGGTTATTTTCATCGGGGCCCGGCGTTCTAACGAAATTACATTCATTCCCCGAACGTTGACGTGGAATAATTTCGACTAATTACTCTTACGCTACCGATCAGCATGGTGCGTCGAATTCATGTATACAGGGTGGACGGTGTACGCTGGGGAACGCGCATAATGATAGTCCTTTCGAAGATAAGTAATGGGTTTCTCGTTTCGATCGGTGCATCGGATAGTTATCAATCTTACCAACTGAGGCCAGCGGCCTGTCATTATGTGTGCTCGTCATTTTGTACGACACTCTGTCGTTTTATTTCTCCTGCACGATTATCTTGGACGATTTTCAGTTACCGGGACCTCATGATGTATTGCTTTTATCGAAAACGATATTTTCTTCCTTTCTTTTTCGGTCATTTTGTACGACACTCTGTCGTTTTATTTCTCCTGCACGATTATCTTGGACGATTTTCAGTCACCGGGACCTCATGATGTATTGCTTTTATCGAAAACGATATTTTCTTCCTTTCTTTTTCGTTTTTTTTTTTTTTGTTTTTCGAGGACCTCGTGTAGGTACATACGCGGACCTGTGTGACGGAACAGACATAACATTTCCCTAGTGTGTAACGTCGAACGTGAAACTCGTCGTGTCGCTCGATAAAATGAACTGTCAAACATATGTACATGTATGTATATACAGTTAGAGAAAAAGACGCACGAAAGTTGTTCCTTGATTTCCACGTAAAGCGTGAAAGACGGTAGATCCACCCGATACACTTTGCTACAAGTTTCGTCGAAACGGTGCTGCACACTGGAAATACCTAGCTTCGTGTATATGCCACCCGTAGAAGCTCGATAAAGTAACAGAGCAAACACAACGTGTGTATATGCAGTAGGTACCGCAGACAGAGAGCGAGAGAGAGAGAGTATGAAGGTTGCGCCAGAAAACGTTGTGAACCGGTTTAATTTCGCTAGAAGGGGCCACAAAGCGAACGTGCATAGAATTTTCGGGCGACGTACGCGGCACAGGGAACGCATGGTTTATTTTCGAGTACTGTTAAATTTAAAACGTCGTTATCCCGCCACATCTGTTGACGCAAACCCTTCTCGAAAACCGGACTCAAGGGGATTACGCGGTATCCTCCCTTTCATCAGCGGTACGCGGCTGTTGTCACTTTACCCGGTTCTTCATAACACCAGGGCCAAACAGAGAGAGAGAGAGAGAGAGAGAGAGAGAGATGAGATGAGATGGACGTAATGTTTCTTTCTCTTTTTCTCACCGTGTGGTTTTTCTGTGACGCAAATGGGACGAATAGTGGCGTTACACGAGCAACCGCGCGAACGTTCACCCCCGGTTTCTTCCTCCCCGTTGCTCATTTGCACATTTGTCGTCGAATATTTCTTTTGCAACGCGGCTACGTCGCCCGTTTCCATCATCGCCCCCCCAGCCAAAAGTAGTTCGCGCGGAATTTCCACGCGACGACAAATTTTCTCGCATTCGCGCGACGCCTCGCTGTCAACCACACAGAAAGATCTTTCTCTCGTCTCTTCTCTACCGATTATCGGACCTTACGATTAACGACAGCAATTTTACCCCCCGGACTCGAAGAATCGTTCGCTGTAATTTCTGAGCCGATTTCCAGGCGACGTTCCACCTCGATCGAAATAATAGCTCTCGTTCCACGGAGAGATTCGCAAGTAGAAGTGGATGATCGTTAATCTTGCGCCGCGATTCGTTGCGTTTCTGGTCAGCGGCTAAATTCGCGATAACGAGGTTGAAACGAGCTTAAGTAAATTGTGGTTAGAAGGGGTTAATTAGAGACTCCTTAGAGCAATAACAGCGATACAAGCTAATTTGTACTTGTTCGCTTGGATCGTTGGATTATGGGTAGCTGCGGTGTTACGTTGCTTATGATTGACGTGTTTTCTGGAACTACAGGATGTTTAATGTTTATTGCATAAGTGATGTGCTCGGGTTTGCTCGCGGTAGCTCAGTTATCAGCGATGATTAACGTTTGATGTCGGATTAAGCTGAAAATGATACACACGCGATAACTTTGAATGTGGTTTTTCTTAGGGTACGAACTTTTGTACCTGCGTATACACGTGTTCACGAACACTTTGTGTGTCGCCGTATAGACTAAACATTTTCATTCTATGCAGTTAAATCGTAACATACTCTATGAATACTGCAAATGATCTAGTACTCCCATCTCTATGTCCAAAATTTAAAAAAAATATTTTTGTAATTTTCATATACGCACCGAAAGATAAAACAAGTATAGGTACAGTAGGATCCCCTGTAACGCGGAAAATATAATACAAATTAAATTCCAACGACATCGCTTTTTGGGTCAAATTTAATTACCCCAAAATGCTAAAGTTACAAATTCAGCGTTTGTACGTTCTTCCTTTTTTTCATCGCGTTATACTACAAAAACTGCCAACTGAAACTCGTTCCCACCTCAGTTTCTAAAAAAAAAAAACGTCTCTCGCCTTTCGATAAAATAAATAAAACCAGTCGAGACGACCTAGCAAATGAGCCACTTATTGTCACAGAACACACGATTCGACAGTGTGTCCGTTTTATAGAGATCTCGAGCGTTTCTTCTAAAATGGAAAGAAGCCGTGACGCGTTCAGATCTCGAACGAGTAAAGCACACGAGGGGGCGAGCATAGTACGGGGGATGCAATATAGGAAAGCAATCTTCTCCTGCGAGCAGAGCGGAGCGCAGAGCAGAGCGGAGCGCGGGGTAACCGAGAGTGGTGGGTCGGTGCTTAGGTACATATCTAGGTAGGTAGGTGGGTAGTCAGGCTGCAGATCGCGTCCGTCTCGCGTGTCCGCAATTTTTCCGGTAGAATCGTTGCCCGTTCGTTCCATAATGCATGCCGTGCCGCGCAATGCTCTATGCGATGCAGCCGTCGCCGGACGTTCTCATACAGAGCGCGACGCCAGGAAAGAAAAAGGAAAAGGAAAGAGCGAAGAGAGAGATGGAGAGAGCCCGCGAAGGGACGACACAGAGCGAGAAGGACACTCCACGTATGTGTGTGTTATACAGAGAGAAAGAGGGAGGACAAAGGGGAGAGAAACTTGACGGCCAATAGGAGCGAGAAGGTTTTTCGTTATCCTAAAAGAAGCAGACCAGCCAGAGACGACCTGGACACTCTCCTAGCGCTCGATTTTCTTGTCCTTGTAGATGCTCGTTTCGATCCCCTTCCATTTTTCCGATCCAACAATCCGATTCTTTTATCCGCGTGGTTTAACTTACCCACCCTGCAGCGCCTTTTGATTATCAAGGTAAACGAACCGAATTTCCCCACGGTCTCTGTATGTGTCTCTGTGTGTGTATGGTAATAACGAGTAGAAGGCATTGGGGTTGATCTAACGTCTTGATGAAACGATTCTCGCGGTGGTAATGTAGAGATGACGGTGGTGCGAAGGCAAGGTTGTAAAGAGTATATTTCACGGTAGGGGGGTTGGCGTTAATCGTAGTTGATGTCTGGATGAACAAGGGTCGATAAAGAGTAACGCTCCACGGGACGAATCGAAGTTGATTAAAGATGTACGCTTCTTGATACATTTGCCGTTTCAGGCTCTGGCTTTTGTGTGTTCAACCATTTCGACCTACCCCTCGTCCCGTCTTTCCCCCCCTCTCTCTCTTTCTTTCTCCAGCCGGTTGAATTCAATTTTCCTGGTCTAATTCTTTTATTCGCTTCGTTTAACCTTCCCTGTTCCGTTCGGCACGTCGTTTCAAGGCGGATCCGTGTCTATTTGAGGTCTTTTCTACCTGGAGTACTTCCCGAACCAGCGACCATTCCCGACGCCGTGCTAGACACATCAAGACTTTAAACTGTCTCCATTTGTTATCGTTGAACATAGAACTTCCCGCTGATCTTTCTTACCTCACTACTATTTCCGAATCGAAGTGAAATTATACGAGATGAAATACTCGCTCGGAAAGCGAAGAGAGAAATCGTGGAGGGAGAGAAGAGCGACGCGTCTAAAAGTGTACAGATCAATATTTAACAACTCATAGGTAGAAACGAGGACCACCGTAGGAGGAAGAATGTTTCGAGAGGCGAAGTGACTCTGTGGCTGGCACGCGGGTAAATAATGCAACGCGATAAATCGTCGGTCGATTCGGTTTCTCTGGTTTTGTGGCACGGAGAGAGGAGCGTATCCCGCGGAGGGATGGTTTCCGCGTGAAAACTCGACTGATACGCGATTATTTGAACGCGCGACACCGAACGAGCCCCGAGCGTAATGATAATTCGATCTTCCTGTCCGTTTCGGTTAATTTCGATATCTACTCCGCGTGTGTTCTCTCCCTCTTTGTACATTCCTTTCTCGTCTATTACTATCTTTATCGTCTGCACGCACGTCGTCGAGTCGAATGTAATCACGGTGTGGGACCGGATGCGGGACAGGCGCGGGTGCTCAGGCGAGGAGAAAAAGGAGGAACGACCACGGGCATTTCGCGCAGAATGAAATTCCTATTCCGCATTGTCGGCGGTTTGCCACTGCAGTCGGCTAAAGTGGCTGAAAAAGGTCGGAGCCGGAATGGGATGAAAATGCTGCTGGTGCAAGGCGCGGCGAGTTTCTGTACAGGACGATGCATATTTCGTCCTCCTTCTCGTCGTCCTCGTCGCCGTCGTTTGTGAACACTTGCTCGAGAAATCCATTAACGAGCGTTTCAGACGATTGCTGGGCAAATAGCGTTTCCTAATTCGACGTGGAAATTTTTTAATCCACCT